CCTGGCAGCCAAAAGGGCCAACCGTGTCCTGGGGTGCATCAAGCACAGCGTTGCTAGCCGGTCAAGGGAGGTGATTGTCCCACTCTATACCATACTGGTGCAGCCCCACCTCGAGCACTGTGTGCAGTTTTGGGTGCCTCAATACAAGAAGGACATCAAACTATGAGAGTGTGTCCAGAGGAGGGCGACCAAGATGGTGAAAAGCCTCGAGGGCAAGACTTACGAGGAGCGGCTGAGGTCACTTGGCTTGTTCAGCTTGGAGAAGAGAAAGCTGAGGGGTGACCTCATTGCTGAGGGGTGACCTCATTGCAGTCTACAACGTCCTCAAGGGGGGCAGCGGAGGGGGAGGTGCTGATCTCCTCTCTCTGGTGACCAGTGACAGGACACAAGGAAATGGAGTGAAGCTGCATCAGGGGAAGTTCAGATTAGACATTAGAAAAAGGCTCTTCACTGAGAGGGTGGTCGGTCACTGGAGCAGGCTCCTCAGGGAAGTGGTCATGGCACCAAGCCTGTCAGAGTTCAAGGAGCATCTGGATGATGCTTTTAGTCATATGGGGTTTTTTTAGGTAGTCACGCAAGAAGCGAGGAGTTGGACTCGATGATCCTTATGGGTCCCTTCCAACTCAAGATATTCTATGATTCTATATTAAATATAAACAACAAATGCAGAAATGATTAGACATAGATATCTGGAGTCTTGGCTGGAAACCTGATTAAAGTATGTCTCCCAGCTGGTTACTGAATGGAATATATTCATTGCAAAGTTGGGTACTTTTAGTCAGGCTTTTTTCCTACTTTTCCTGTTAATCTGATGGATGTCCTGTTTTCATCCTTTTCCTTCCTCTCTAGCAAAAGGTGGGAATTGTAAATATCATTGTGCCAGTTCAACATCTCTTGCTAATATGTCATTGCTATTCTGAAATAGAAGCAGCTCAGTGTTTAAGTTGGCATATATTAGAAAGACTCTGGACGTGAATATTCACCAGATTTTCAAAAGTGACTTAATCGGTTATATGTTTAGTGGGTGCACTGACCACCAGAATTTGATTCCTGATCTTCCAAGGAGACTGCTAGGAAGTGCAGAAAATGAATCTTGATATAAAGAAGCAAGAGTAGACTTCATCGTGGTAATCACTGAGTCTGGTCTACTTTTGTGAGTCATAAAAATGAGTTACCCTTTGTTTTCCCCTCATAGGTCATCTTTAGCTTCCAGTGTTCTAAGTAACAACTCATGATTTAATTACAATACCATATTCTATTAAATTTTATCTGAAAGAGTTAGTTAAGAACCATAGTCCATTAAACTTTTTCACATTGAATAAAATGTTAAGATGATAACATACTAAGTATTTTTGGTTTTTCCTAGTGAGTTCATCTTTGACCAGAGAGGAAAATTATTTCACTCAAAAAAATAGTTTGCTCAAAGATTTTGTGTTAAACTTTTCAAAGTTGTCCTTTCTAGCATTGGGAGCATTTAGATCTCTTGCCACGTTGAACGCTTACAGGTCACGAGGCATGTTGGCTGATAACAGAATCATATTCAGATGTCTGATCTTTGTAAATATCAGTAAAACTTTGAGCATTTAGAGTGTTCTTCTGTTTTTCCACTTGAATGGACTTCCGTAATTGAGGACCAATGCTTGCTGAAGAGATAGTAAGGACTTTCAAAGGAGAAATATACTAAGTAAAGAGCGGGCTTGCAGCCATTATTATTAAAGTACTTTAATTTGTCGACAGAGTTATCTGTAGCGTCAAATTAAAAAAATAGTTGGTTTACAGCCATAATGAATTCTGTTGCCTTGTCTGTATATAGTATGCATGAGCTTTAAAAAAAAAAAAAAAGCCTCCGTTGTTATATACCCTCTAAATGTCTGAAGCTTATCCCAGAAATACATACTACCCCTTGGCATAGAAACAAACACCAAATTTTTGCCTTCACTGTTATTCATGACTTCTTTTTAACACTTAATTGTATTATAAATTCTTTTGGCTTTTCCATAGATGATTTTATATCTAGCATACTAAAAATAGTAAGTTTATGACTGTGACTCAGTTGAATTCCAACAGAATTTGTAATAATTTAGTCTTTAAAATAATGGTTCTATGATTGCTGTCTCTTGCAACTAGAGAGTGCAGTAGCATTGGATGTGTAACGTTCATGATCTTTACTACTGTTTGTAAAAACTGCAGACTTAAGGATGCTTATTCG